AAGCCTGCTAAAACACCTGTGGGTCCCCTAGATGATCGAGCTATAAAAGGAGCAATCAAGGACGATAAAGCCATTGCGGAGAAACTAAATGATTTCTTTGCTTCAGTCTTCACGGCTGAGGACGTTGGGGAGATTCCTGAATCTGCACCGTCCTTTGTGGGTGATGAATCTGAGGAACTGTCCCGGATTGAAGTGTCATTAGAGGAGGTTTTGGAACAAATAGAAAAACTTAATGTTAACAAATCTCCGGGACCGGATGGCATTCATCCAAGGGTTCTAAAAGAACTCAAATGGGAAATTGCTGAGCTATTATCTGTGGTTTGTAACCTATCCTTTAAATCGGCTTCTGTACCTAATGACTGGAAGGTAGCCAACGTGACACCAATATTTAAAAGGGGCTCTAGAGGCGATCCTGGCAATTACAGACCGGTAAGTCTAACTTCAGTACCGGGCAAATTAGTCGAAACAATAGTAAAGAATAAAATTGTGAAGCATGTAGAAGAACATAATTTGTTGGACAAAAGTCAACATGGTTTCTGTAAAGGGAAATCCTGTCTTACTAATCTATTAGAGTTCTTTGAAGGGGTTAACAAACATGCGGACAAGGGGGATCCAGTAGATATAGTATACTTGGATTTTCAGAAAGCCTTTGACAAGGTCCCTCACCAAAGGCTCTTGTGTAAATTACATGGCCATGGGATAAGAGGGAAGGTCCTTTCTTGGATTGAGAACTGGTTAAAAGACAGGAAACAAAGGGTAGGAATAAATGGTAAATTTTCAGATTGGAGAGGGGTAACTAGTGGTGTCCCCCAAGGGTCAGTCCTGGGACCAATCCTTTTCAACTTATTCATAAATGATCTGGAGAAAGGGGTAAGCAGTGAGGTAGTAAAGTTTGCAGATGATACCAAACTGTTTAGGATAGTCAAGACAGAAGCAGACTGTGAGGGACTCCAAGAAGATCTCACCAAACTGAGTGATTGGGCAACAAAATGGCAAATGAAATTTAATGTGGATAAGTGTAAAGTAATGCACATCGGGAAAAATAACCCCAACTATACGTACAGTATGATGGGGGCTAATTTGGCTATGACAAATCAGAAGAGATCTTGGAGTTATCGTGGACAGTTCTCTGAAAACTTCCACACAGTGTGCAGCGGCGGTCAAAAAGGCAAATAGGATGCTAGGAATTATTAAGAAAGGGACAGAAAATAAGACCCAGAATATCTTACTGCCCCTGTATAAAACTATGGTACGCCCACATCTTGAGTACTGTGTACAGATGTGGTCTCCTCACCTCAAAAAAGATATTTTGGCCTTGGAAAGGGTTCAGAAAAGGGCAACTAAAATGATTAGGGGTTTGGAATGGGTCCCATATGAGGAGAGGTTAAAGCGACTGGGACTTTTCAGTTTAGAAAAGAGGAGACTGAGAGGGGATATTATAGAGGTCTATAAAATCATGAGTGGAGTGGAGAGAGCGAATAAAGAAAAGTTATTTATTAGTTCCCATAACAGAAGAACTAGAGGACACCAAATGAAATTAATGGGTAGCAGGTTTAAAACTAATAAGCAAAAGTTCCTCTTCACACAGCGTGTAGTCAACCTGTGGAACTCCTTGCCAGAGGAGGCTGTGAAGGCTAGGACTATAATAGAGTTTAAAGGGAAGCTAGATAATTTCCTGGAGGTTAGGTCCATAAAAGGCTATTAGCCAGGGGATAAAATGGTGTCCTTGGCCTCTGTCTGTCAGAGGCTGGAGAAGGATGGCAGGAGATTCATAGACTTTAAGGTCAGAAGGGACCATTATGATCATCTAGTCTGACCCCCTGCACAGTGCAGGCTACAGAATCTCACCCACCCCTCAAATCGCTTGATCATTGTCTTCGGTCCACCCTCTCTGGGGCACCTGGTGCTGGCGACTGTCGGTAGACAGGATACTGGGCTAGATGGACCTTTGGTCTGACCCAGTACGGCCGTTCTTATGTGCAATGACATTTTGAAAATATGGCCTCTAGTAGCAGATGGCAGCATGAGCAATAAGCAAGTCAGGGGTGCTTTTAAGAAATGGAAAGCATCAGTAAAAACCACCAGGAGTCTGGTGACACCTCAAAGACTAACAAACAATTTCATTACAGCAGAAGCTTTTGTGGTTCCAACTTGTGACGCAGTGGGGGGTAACTTGCTAACTCACTGGCTACTGTCTGTAGCATCACGGAGCAAGACAGGCGATGAGTCATTATGCAAAGAGGGTATCTCAACCTGTCTGACCAGCTACCCCCCATAGAGAGGAACAAAGGAAGGTGGATGCTGCCCTGGCTGGGGGGCAGGGCTGGAGGAGAGTTAATTAGTTTCTGTCTGGGAGGATAGAGGAAGCAGCCTCAGCAACAGGCTGGGGGGTTTAGAAGCCGAGACCCCCCCCCCATATCAAGGGGGGCTGAGGCATCCTAGGCCTGCCCTGTAACCTGGTGACATCTGTGCTGGGCTGTATCCTGGAGAAGCAATAAACTCCCTCTGTTCTACCGGCTGGTGGAGTCTGTTCGTGCCATTCCGGGGGTGCAGGGGACGGGGGACCCCAACGCGCCGTCACACAACTCCCTTTGTCAGATGCATGCAGTGAAAGAATCAGAGACTAGGGATACAGAGATGAGAGTTAATTCAGTCAGGGTGGATGTGGCTAAGAAGGTGAGAAAATCCATATCCACACAGATTGAATTAGCTCTGATGAAACACTCCCATCTCTGTATCCTGGCCAGCTGTTTCTTTTTCTTTCACATCGTGCATCTGACAAAGCGAGTTGCAACTCACCAAAGCTTCTGTGGTACTAAAATTGTTTTGCTGAAACAGACTAACAGGCTGCCCCTCAGAAACATCAGTGCTTGTTTTACAGAAATGCCAAGCGAGCTCAACCAGAAAGCAGCATGAGTGAAATATGTGAAGTGTAATAGCACATTTGAGATTGTCCCAAAATCTAAACTGGAAAATCGACTGAAACCGCTGTGCAATGAAACCACGGAGCTTTGAAAACGTGCTCCACACTGTCTAGCCACGCCCTGCCCCCTCTCCCTCTCTGTGCCACACCCCTAACTGCTGAGGGGTCTCTGTTGCTCTGCCCGTTCTGCGAACAGCTCTGGTGCGTGTCTCTACTGCTGTAGCTGCACAGTGAACCTAAAGGGTTCTGAGAGACACGGCTGGTGAGCAAATACCTTGTATTGGACCCCACCTTCAGGTGCTGAGGGAGACAACGACAGTCGTCCCTCGCCAACTGCAGCTAACCCGGATCACCTCCCCCAGCTGGTCGCTCTGATACCCTGGGAGGGGGGAGGCCACCACACTGCTATGCAGAACGTGACCCTGGCTAGCGTCCCGGCTGCTACTGAGACGCCGAGAGGCAGGTCTGGACCAGTGGCACCAGGCGCTTTGGAGCTGTCTGTCTGTGGCCCCGGAAGGCAGCGTCCTCGCCACAGACAGCAGGCCAAGCCATGCTCTTACCCAGAAACGGGAAGTGCTGTGGCCTTGCCGGGACGGCCCCAGCTGTGAGACCGAGGAGACGCGTGGCTTCCCAGCTAGTCTAGGGACCCAAAGTGGCTTCCCCCCTTGCAAGGAGACCTACCGAGCAGCGGGTAGACAGTGGGGCTGAGCCGGCATATCTGCAACCATGTCACGACCAGCCTGCAGGAAGGGGGTGAACAGCACCTGGCCAGGGCCTGCAGGCCAGGCTGAGCTGGGGGGGTTTGGTGGGCTGGGCAGGTGCGAGCACGCGGGCAGGCAGTGTTCAAAGCTACATACATTCAAAATCTCTCTCATTGTAGCTGCGTCTCTGCTCCTCCAGATCCCGTGACGCTGACTTGCTTATCAGGTCCCCGAACCTCTGGATTGACAAGGTCTTATCCAAATCCTCGTCATCCTCTGCACAGACACAGAAACGGCCAGGTCACAAGCAAGCCCCGCCAAGCCCCCGATCTCGGGCCCCATGAACGGCACAGCACTTCCCATGGGCTCTAGAGCTGCCACCCACGGGGATGCAGGCTATGAAAGCACTTGGGGGAGCCAGGAAAAACCCAGCAGGTCCCCTAGCCTGACCCCCACCTCGATCACAGCCACTAGTACCTGGTCTGAGTTGCTCCCATCTCTCCCCAGCCAAGGTGCATACAACAGCCACTGGGGAGGGGCCCGGCCCGTGGCCTACGTGGCCTCCCAGGCAAGGAGCCTAGCCAATTTGTAGCTGGAACTTCCCCTAGCTCAGTTCCGGCTGCTGCTCCTCATCCTTCCCTCTGCAGGGACCCCGCTAGTTCTCCTCCTCCATCCCTGCTGCTCCCTCCGGAGCGTCCTCGCTCAACGTCCCAGCGCCGCTCTCGAGGCTCCAGCGAGTGAGGCTCCCACGACACGGGCTGCCCCACACTCTCCCCTCTCTGGGGCAGCTGAAGCCAGCTGGCTTCCTTAGGGCTCTCTCTCCGCAGAGGCTGCCACTAGCTGGAGCATCCAGGCCCGGCACAGATGCCCTTCCCACCTCCTAAGCAGAAGCAGCTGGTAAAATTTTCCATCCGCGTAACCCAAAATGCCAGTGCTGAGCTGGTGTGGACTCCTCCGTTTCCATGGTTACAGGAGGCCCAACTGTGACAGCTCTGTGCTGAGCAGGAACAGGCAGCAAAATGGCCTCAGCCAACCTCCCCCGAGCTCCCAGCCTGCTGGCAGCCCCAGCAGGGAACGTGCCACGCCGTCAGGAGCTGCCACCTGCCTGTGGCTTGCGCGGGAACCCCGGCTGCCCGGCCCCCTAGCCATCAGCCCCGGCAGGGAACGCGCCACGCCATCAGGAGCTGCCCCCCGCCTGTGACTTGCGCGGGACCCCCGGCTGCCCTGCCCCTAGCAATCAGCCCCAGCAGGGAACGTGCCACGCCGTCAGGAGCTGCCACCTGCCTGTGGCTTGCGCGGGAACCCCGGCTGCCCGGCCCCCTAGCCATCAGCCCCGGCAGGGAACGCGCCACGCCATCAGGAGCTGCCCCCCGCCTGTGACTTGCGCGGGACCCCCGGCTGCCCTGCCCCTAGCAATCAGCCCCAGCAGGGAACGTGCCACGCCGTCAGGAGCTGCCACCTGCCTGTGGCTTGCGCGGGAACCCCGGCTGCCCGGCCCCCTAGCCATCAGCCCCGGCAGGGAACGCGCCACGCCATCAGGAGCTGCCCCCCGCCTGTGACTTGCGCGGGACCCCCGGCTGCCCTGCCCCTAGCAATCAGCCCCAGCAGGGAACGTGCCACGCCGTCAGGAGCTGCCACCTGCCTGTGGCTTGCGCGGGAACCCCGGCTGCCCGGCCCCCTAGCCATCAGCCCCGGCAGGGAACGCGCCACGCCATCAGGAGCTGCCCCCCGCCTGTGACTTGCGCGGGACCCCCGGCTGCCCTGCCCCTAGCAATCAGCCCCAGCAGGGAACGTGCCACGCCGTCAGGAGCTGCCACCTGCCTGTGGCTTGCGCGGGAACCCCGGCTGCCCGGCCCCCTAGCCATCAGCCCCGGCAGGGAACGCGCCACGCCATCAGGAGCTGCCCCCCGCCTGTGACTTGCGCGGGACCCCCGGCTGCCCTGCCCCTAGCAATCAGCCCCAGCAGGGAACGTGCCACGCCGTCAGGAGCTGCCACCTGCCTGTGGCTTGCGCGGGAACCCCGGCTGCCCGGCCCCCTAGCCATCAGCCCCGGCAGGGAACGCGCCACGCCATCAGGAGCTGCCCCCCGCCTGTGACTTGCGCGGGACCCCCGGCTGCCCTGCCCCTAGCAATCAGCCCCAGCAGGGAACGTGCCACGCCGTCAGGAGCTGCCACCTGCCTGTGGCTTGCGCGGGAACCCCGGCTGCCCGGCCCCCTAGCCATCAGCCCCGGCAGGGAACGCGCCACGCCATCAGGAGCTGCCCCCCGCCTGTGACTTGCGCGGGACCCCCGGCTGCCCTGCCCCTAGCAATCAGCCCCAGCAGGGAACGTGCCACGCCGTCAGGAGCTGCCACCTGCCTGTGGCTTGCGCGGGAACCCCGGCTGCCCGGCCCCCTAGCCATCAGCCCCGGCAGGGAACGCGCCACGCCATCAGGAGCTGCCCCCCGCCTGTGACTTGCGCGGGACCCCCGGCTGCCCTGCCCCTAGCAATCAGCCCCAGCAGGGAACGTGCCACGCCGTCAGGAGCTGCCACCTGCCTGTGGCTTGCGCGGGAACCCCGGCTGCCCGGCCCCCTAGCCATCAGCCCCGGCAGGGAACGCGCCACGCCATCAGGAGCTGCCCCCCGCCTGTGACTTGCGCGGGACCCCCGGCTGCCCTGCCCCTAGCAATCAGCCCCAGCAGGGAACGTGCCACGCCGTCAGGAGCTGCCACCCGCCTGTGGCTTGCGCGGGAACCCCGGCTGCCCTGCCCCCTGGCAATCAGCCCCGGTAGGGAACGCGCCACGCCATCAGGAGCTGCCCCCCGCCTGTGACTTGCGCGGGAACCCCGGCTGCCCTGCCCCCTGGCAATCAGCCCCGGTAGGGAACGCGCCACGCCATCAGGAGCTGCCCCCCGCCTGTGACTTGCGCGGGAACCCCGGCTGCCCTGCCCCCTGGCAATCAGCCCCGGTAGGGAACGCGCCACGCCATCAGGAGCTGCCCCCCGCCTGTGACTTGCGCGGGAACCCCGGCTGCCCTGCCCCCTGGCAATCAGCCCCGGTAGGGAACGCGCCACGCCATCAGGAGCTGCCCCCCGCCTGTGACTTGCGCGGGAACCCCGGCTGCCCTGCCCCCTGGCAATCAGCCCCGGTAGGGAACGCGCCACGCCATCAGGAGCTGCCCCCCGCCTGTGACTTGCGCGGGAACCCCGGCTGCCCTGCCCCCTGGCAATCAGCCCCGGTAGGGAACGCGCCACGCCATCAGGAGCTGCCCCCCGCCTGTGACTTGCGCGGGAACCCCGGCTGCCCTGCCCCCTGGCAATCAGCCCCGGTAGGGAACGCGCCACGCCATCAGGAGCTGCCCCCCGCCTGTGACTTGCGCGGGAACCCCGGCTGCCCTGCCCCCTGGCAATCAGCCCCGGTAGGGAACGCGCCACGCCATCAGGAGCTGCCCCCCGCCTGTGACTTGCGCGGGAACCCCGGCTGCCCTGCCCCCTGGCAATCAGCCCCGGTAGGGAACGCGCCACGCCATCAGGAGCTGCCCCCCGCCTGTGACTTGCGCGGGAACCCCGGCTGCCCTGCCCCCTGGCAATCAGCCCCGGTAGGGAACGCGCCACGCCATCAGGAGCTGCCCCCCGCCTGTGACTTGCGCGGGAACCCCGGCTGCCCTGCCCCCTGGCAATCAGCCCCGGCAGGGACACGGCCCTCTGCACAGCCCTGACAGGAGCGCGGGGTGGCCGCTGCCGCGGGTGGGGCCAGTCCTGCTGGGCCACAAGGGCCATGAGGCAGGAGGGAGAAGGGGGCACAAAAGACCCGGTGCTGCTGAGAAGTGCAAGGCCCCCACTGAAACGCTTTTCACAAGCAAGTGGTTAGGAGAGAGTCTCTTAGTGCTCTGAGGCAGGCTCTGCCCCTCCCTCCGTCATCGCCATTCACCTCGGGCCCGGGCGTTAGCCAGGGGCATCCCCGAGAGGGCAG